AAGCTTCACAGATTTTAATTTTTGAAATAAAAATAGCATACATGTATATTATTTTTGAGTTATACAGTACTTTACCTGTGAACTTCAAGGTCATTGCTGTCTCTTTCAGAATCACTGAGGATTGAAGATGGCTCTTTGAAGAGGGGAAGTAGCTCTTTTAACAGTTTACAGGACATAAAGTGGCCATGTGCTGCTGGATCTATACTTGACAATGCCTTGAGTATGCCTTGAAATTTTCGCGTTGAACTCGCCAAGCCTTTATATGCTTAGAGAGTTTGACGTGCGATACCAGGGCTTTTTTGCCGCTGGCTGCATACTTGATGTCATCATTGCAGAAAGTGAAGAGCACTTTTCCACCATGACATGCTCTTCCAACCAATTCCATTTAAATGCATTGGTGACATGTTTATCTAGCTCTCTTGCTCCTTTTGAGAGAATTTTCCAGTTGAACTTGAGGAGCAACATGTTGGCTCTGACATTGTTCTGTACATGTACAAAGGAACATGTTTTTTGGGCAATTGTGGACGTTCCTATTTGTCCTCTTTTGTTCATACTTTTTTGGAAGGCCTCTAATATGTTTAGTACACATTTGGCAATAGTGGACGTATCGGAAATCGTGGATGGTCATTAATTCTTTTGTTTAACGTCTACATATGTTCGGGAACATCAATGCATGTGTACAACTGTTCACACGCGCATGGTACGACATTACGAATGTACACACATACATGAGGCCGCACAAAATTATGTTAGTCTGATCCTCAAACAAGTGAATTACGTTACCGATACCGCATTCAACATCTGCAGGAACTAGACTACATAGAGTGGTACTCGTATCGAGCCCAGATTGCAACATGGATGTACGCACACAACAATGTGAACCATGCTACTCCTGCTGACGTGCACACCAACACCGAGAATGTGTCTCTATGGGAGAAGCCTGCAGCCAACAGAGCATGCGTGTGTTGACATCGTTCTCGTGTGTGTAGTCAAATCATGTGCGTACTGTTTACAAAGCGGTGTGCGTACATACAACGCAGTTGGGCTCGATACGAGCACCAGGTTTCACATTTTACTCATATATAATGCACGCAAAATACCAGTCTTGTAAAACCTCATTCTCAAGAACGAGGATGTGTGAGGAATACATAAGTACATTGTACAGTACATTGTTACAAGTACAGTGTATATTGCAAGTATAACGCAGACGTACACGGTAGTCCGATGTGTCTGGTCTTCGAGAAGAAAGAATAAACAAGTGAGTTTATTCTTCCATTTATTTTGGCATGCATGTAAATGCAATTTGAATATTTAATTTGCATATACATGTAGTACCCCCTGATTTTCTTAACGGATTCGCGCAATTCATAAGGGTTGACTTTTGAGGCCAAAAAAACTGGAATTCCTGAAGAAAACGGAGAAATCACATCCCTCTTCATGCTCTGCAGCCTCTTAAGCCTGCTTCAGATGAGGACCTTCTGGATGGTGATTCCTGGCACAGGGTGTCTTGATATCTTTGGGTAGAAACGGACCTTTTTGACCATGTCCTGCAACCAATGTTGGGGTCAACTTTGACTTCAAGCCTGATCATGGCACCCTAGGTCACTGTATTTTCACACAATTGTCTGGATAGATGACCTTGGCACTTTTAGTTGCCTAAATATGGTGCAGAGACATCAGGATGTGTGCAACTTCCTTGGGTCTTGCTGGTACCCTTTGCCTCTCCCATTCTGGCTAAACTGGGAATAAGGCCCGATTAAGAAACCGATTCTTTTTAAGTATTTATATGGGCAGTGCCTGACCCATTACGTAACAATTATAATCAGGAGGGGGAGTGGGGAACAAAATACATACAATAAAAGATCATTTCAGAATATTCTAGGCCTTTCCAAAGTCAATAATGCAACAAGTCGCCTTGGTGTGCTTGAACTTTTGACCCACTTTTTGTCACCCTGTGAAGTTGTGAATAAGGAGTTACCTGAAGTGAAAAGGTTGAGAAAACTTTGATAGAACAGAGTAAAAAGGAGGCATAAATGGTCAGCTTCTTATTTGTATGTGAATTATTAGCGCTTACTTGATGTGGAACTTGTTCCCTGAATAATCCATAAAAACTGTGGAGTACTTAGACTGGTGCTGTAAAGGGAGTAACAGCACGTTGGTGTGGGAAGTACATGTACAGAACCAATGGGTTGAGATGGAGAGAAATGGCTATTCTTAAAATTCTCATTTTTGACAAATGTTGTCCATTGAACAATGGGACATGACATTCTGTTTTGTGTCTGAATTATTCTGGAAAAAACAAAATAAAAGGGCATTTCTCACAACTGGTCAGTTTTTCTTTCCTTGCTTTTATTGATGATAGCTCTGGAACAAATCATGATATTAGCTGTTAATGGCTATAGTTTTCACTGGAAAAGTTCCCTTCATTTACTGTACCTATAAATTTGAAAGAAATTATCATTGTCATTTTAACAATAATCCCAAATTCTGTTAAACTTACATGTTGACATTGCACTGTGACCTAAAATGCATGTCACTGTATCTAAAAGCTGCCAAGAAGCTTGTTTACCTTTTTTACGCAAAAAAAGGTTTGAACAATTAAAAAAATCCATTACCCATCATTTTGTTCCATCATTTTGTACTACATGTACATTACCATTCATATTTGAATGGTTCTAAACTTTCTTGTTCCTGTCTCATCACAAGCTCTATTGTCTCATCACAAGCTTTATTGCGGGAAATGAAACCAGACTAAACAAGCTGCACTTTTGGCCATGTTTGAACATAGAAATATGGTAGATCCTTGATCAGACTATGAATGTGACTGGACTATGAAAATTTGATTGGCAAGAGGACCATTGTCATTTGGCAAGACATGATGGACTGGCTGCATGTACATGTAAGCGGTGAATGGCTCCATGCCATATTAACCCCTTGACAACGGGAACTTTTTTCTGAAAGCTGACTCTGAGAATTCCAGCCTCGCTTGGCCACGAAGGCCACAGCTGGTAAGTGTTTAAAGTTCAAACTGACTGGTTTTAAACACTTCTCTTTACTGTGTTATCAGTAATTGATGACTACTTGTGTAACTGGGCCAATTAAAGTGCTCAAACAGTCTTAGGAATTCAAGAATTATAGTGGTATCAAAGCCAAAAGACACATGAATGAAAACAGAAAATACGGTTTTAAAATTTCTCAGGGGTGTGAGTGGCCACATACACAAAAAGCCGAAAACATCCAGCAAAAAGATAAAATGTATACAGTTACCACAGTCTTGAAGAGATTGGGTACACAAAAAAGCTGAAATTCAGAGTAAAATCTGAACAAATATGCTGGAAAGCTGAAATACAGCACACTGTATTGCAGTCTTGTAGTCCAGACCATCACAAAATCATGCACAAGACCAGTCACAAGTAACAAGGTGAACAGTGACAAAGGAATGCTTTTGTTGCAGTTCATTTGAATAGTTTGTGGCTTGAATTCAGACTGGAAGTCTTGTGTGGTCTTGTGAAGGTCTTAAGTGGTCTCGACGACAACACTACTGCAGTAACAAACCATAAAGGATATAAACTTCATGCGTATGATGCAATGTTAGAGGGTATTTCTTTCTTCCTTTGGGATACACTTGAGTAAACTTTTTGTGCCTTCATTGTAACAATATTAACCACTTCCTGCCGGGGATTCCTGATCTGGACACGTATGCTTTATATGCCGGCCGGGGTCTCCAAACTTGGACAAAGGGAACAAGGCCTTGTAACAAAAGACCGTACTCGGAACAAAAGACCAGGCTGCTGGGCTTTACTGACATTTTTTCACTCTCAAAAGTGGAGATAATCCAGCCTTGTTTTGAAACAGTATACCATGGTTTGGGGCACTGAGAGCGAGCGGATTACCACCGGGGACAAAAGCGCTCCACCACCGCAGCGATGAGCCACACAGCACCACTGCACGCTAATCTAGCCCCTATTGAAAAGAGGTCAGCAGCACACTGAGCTAGGTTCGTGAACAAAAGAAAGTTATATAACACCGCACAATCTGGGCTCTTTCTACAAGGCTGCAGGCCTGGCTGAAATACTCGGGCGTCAATAGATTTTGTCTGTCAGGCTAGAGTGGACACCAGACAGTCCTTCGCGTGTTTGTAAGTGTCCAGTAAATGAAAATAGGAATTTTTAAAGAATTTTGAAAGCAGAAAAAAAGGATAAATATCCCGGCCCAGCATCATCAACATTGATAACTGCCCGGGCAAGAAGCGGTTAAAATAACAAAGAACAGCCTCTGTGACACCAACAAAGCATAACCGCTATTTCATTTTTCCAATGATATTAAATGAGGGAGCAGGGAAAAAAAGGATTTGCTACTGTGCATCAATTTAGACCAGTCCAAACATATGCATATGTACATGCATGTTCATCTGATACCTTTAATAATTGATCCTCTGTCTCCACCAAAAGAAGCCAGTTAGTAAAATCTAAGTTCTGAATCTGCAGCATGTACATGTATAGCATGTTGTTACAATTCCTTTGTCAACAACTCAGCATGTTACATTTTTTGGCATTCCAGGGTGGAAGCCTTTTCTCCAGTCGCTGCTGGAAAATGTTTCAAACTTGAAGTTCATTGGGAAATCTGTCATCAGAAGAGAAAAGAAACAGAAATAATTTTAACTGAAAAGCACTACTGTAAAGTTAACACTGATGTCAGACGCCTACACTGGCAGCATACTTTAACCCCTAAATTGTGACTTTATATTGGAAAAATGATGAGTGTGAGTAGAGGTTATCTCTTCTGTGTTACTTTCTCAGGAAACTCTTGTGACAGTTGCTCTAACTGTGATTACACTGAATCCTGAAAGATCTGATCCCGCAAGGAAGGTTGAAGGGAGATTAATGACAAGTGTACGTGTAAATGCAAGGTGGATCAGGGTGTGATCTGAGTCTGATTCTCCTTTGCCCATTTTGGGAAGGGTTAGATATGGATGTCTCATAATGTGAGTATGAACACGATTGTTGAAACAGACCCTGCAAATTGGCACAACCAATTTCAGTTTGCATGGCACAATGGAGTTTGAAAGTCTTAAAGTCTGTGAATTGTTTTTGTTTGAGGGACATGAATGCTGAACTGATCATAATGCAGTCCAATGCACAACAGAAATGTGTAGGTGGTACATGTACCGTATCCATGACCACCATATGAACAATATTAAGGTGTGGTAGGTACTTGGTTCAATACCAGTTCCATACCATGCCATGCTATCAAAAACTAAAACTCCCTGTATGCAATTACATGTACATGTACCTCCAAGTTTTCATTTGCTTTATGTTCAGGCTGTTGTTCAGTTGCATGCAGTTCATTTGATACTTCTTGTGACATTTATAATTTTGTCCTGAACATAAAATACAAGCAAAGCAAAACATGCTTTGAAATGTTTGCCTTAGACAGTGCTTGAAGTCATGGTGTCTTATACACTTGGGTAGTGGGCAAGCATGGAAAAATGTTGAAAACTTAATTTTGTGGGTATTTGGGCCAGACACTGATAAGAAATTAAAGTAAAAATGGATTTTCCATTTTGATGTGCTGTAACAAGGGTGACAAATTTACAATGAAAGCATACATGTAGGCAAAGCTAGCAAAATGGATCTTTTTGAAATGACTGTATAACATACTTAAAATGACCTCAGTGACCTTTTGTTTTAAAAGGTAGATTGAAGTAGGATCAGGATCCATTGTGAACAAACACGATTTAATTGCCCTTGCAAAATGCTATCGTCCATTGCAGGATTCAGTGTAAAGTTCCAAATGCATAGATTGATATTTTGAATGCTCATGTGGCTGTTGAAGCATCTGAGCAGCAATCACCACCACACAGAATACCACTTAGTAGTCCTTACAATTTACATATAGTATGACTACATGCTATCCATAGTTTACTGGTAGTGATATACAACTTCACATTCTCAACTGCAGTGTGGCATTGCTTTGATAATAAAAAAGGTGGATATTACATGCATTTATCAGCAATGTACATCAATTTTGTATGGGCTGAGTTTAAAGCAGATGATTGTGGGTGCAAACAAGCCCCCTATTTCAAGCCCACCAGCAGGAAAAGAAAAAACAAAAACATTAAAATACAGAATAAACACCAAAATAGGGGTCTGGTGTCAGCACTGTGAGTTATTTTTAATTAATTTTTGAACAAAAAGCATGATTCTCTAATAAACAACTACTTTTTTTGGTTTGGTCCTATGCTGCACACCTTTTGACTAATCAGCAACAAATTTGTCAGAAAGTTAAATGTGAACTCTTTGATTACTGACTACATGTTCGACATCTTGTCTCCACTTACCAGCCATGTAATCTAGCTTGGGGATGGCTATGCTAGAATGTTTCCTGATCAATCTTGTCCACAGTGTGTTTGTCCTTATTGGGTTGGTCTCAGTAACATTTAGATCAGCTGAACTCTTGCATCGATCCACTGGCAGGTTATCTCCAAAGAATGACCCCCACCGGTTAGACAGGAGAAACTCTCGCTCTACCTCAGAGGGGCCCTGGGTTCAAAGGTCATGACAGAAGTATATCAAAACTCATGTCCAACATCTCATATAATCATTTACTTTTTAAAAAAAGATTACACAAAATGTGTTTTGATAGGGCACTATTAAAATCTGTTGTCTAATTTCAGATGATTCTACATGTACATGTACATGTGTGCAAATGGAAATTACAACCATCCCAAATGATGCATGTAGAGAGAAACATATAGGGCTCTATGTGAAAAGTACCCAAATAGCCTAAAAACAACAGCTGTTCATCTGGTTCCACACCACTCTAATACATAAGTGTACATTTGTAGGTGCATGAAGGAAGACTGTGGGAACCAGGCTAGAAGTAACAACATGCAAGTCGCTGTTTGTCATAATCTGTGTGAGTTATATCTATCAGCGAATATTTGAGGGCATTTTCTTTTATTTGGATTACAGATCAATTGCTAAATAAAATTAGGTTATGGAAAAATTGTAAAAATGGAATTGGAATTCTTAATTTCAATCAACCCCCCATTCAAACTGTGGCATAAATATTACAGAATTTGACAGAATAATCAAACTTGCTAAACATGCTATTGAAACGTACATGTACATGTATTTCAACACACAATCCTGGAGTATGTGCAGCCCCAAAATAGAGGAAAGAAATCGGGTTCAATATGTGTCTTTGTGTACACAATGTTATGACTGTCTTGCTTGAAACTTGTTGCATTGCTAACATTGGTCACAAGCATACTATGCCCTAACTGGCTCTGTCTGCCAAATTAGTAACATTTTTATGGCAGTACAGATGTTCATGAGGAATTTTCCTCTTTTAAAGCTCCAATATATTTACTTAATCAATGCGTTCTGATAACTTTTTATACCTGGAAGAAATTTGATAACTTTTGTGCAGTGAAACTGAGTGAAGACATTTAAGCAAATTTGTGTTCAAGACTTTGTCGGAGCATTGACCAACTACTATGGGGGCATATACTGTAAAGGGATCCTCCATTCAGTTGAAACTTTTTTCCTGGTTTCCACTTGACCCAAGAAGACCAAAAACCCCTAATCAAAGTCACAAAGAAGTGTCCCAAGACACCATTATGCAAACCAGTGTCACTGATAGAAGGACAATGTACACTTAAGTACATGTACTTTCACCATTGAGAGGGTACTCATGACCAAAGATTATATAGCGCCGTGTAGCGGCGCAAGATGGGTAATTCGGCCATAAAGGTGTTATCAGCATTGGCGTCATTCGAGTGTGAACGTTCATGTGTGTGTGCGTGCCTGTCGCGCGGTGCCTGCGCGTGTGTATTAACATGCACTGCACAGGCACAGTCCAACCAGAATGGCGTTCATGTGATAACAATGTTTTACGCGTATTCAAGGTGAAGTTCCCCATCTTGCGCTGCTACGCGGCGCTATACGATCTTTGCTCGTGACTATGTCCAAGCTAGTACATGTAGGTTAGGCTGAAATTGCACGGGAGGTGCTTTCTATAGTCATAAATGTGACTGGCTCTGCAAAAATGGTCCTCGGGCTTCTGGTGACGAACTGATTTTTAGTGATGCCCAGGGATAGAGAGTCATTTTAATAAGGATTAAATTTGTGTATTTTTGACCTCTGTCGCACATTCTATTCCCGAGATACAGTACAATTTAGAATTGATCTCTGGCAGGTGTACAGAATGGTCTGTTACATACAGAGGCAGAGCATGACTTAAGGGCATTTTTTGCAGAGTGGGTCACAAATGTACAAATGCATGCCCTATAGCATCTTCACAAGGTGACAACATTTAGAATTGTTTTCTTCTTGGTTTTTGTTTTTTCTTTCACTGAGAATTACGTACTTGCACGAGCAAGATATTTAAGTAAGCTATAATACATGGGTACATATAAGTCTGGATTTACATGTTGACCTGTACAAAAATGGTTCTTTTGGTTTTAAATCAGAATCAGAACAGATGCATGAACATTGAAAGTACATGTATGAAGTGTTTTACAAAATCAAACTTGCTGACTTACAGTTAGGAGACGTTTAAACTAAATCTGCCCGTTTCGATAACTTGGAAGAGGACAGACACATGTACACGTATTTGGAAGCATGGGGATGTCCTGGTTTTATTTGGCATTCAACATGTCTGTATTAAAATGGACAGGGTGGTGACAGTATGTGACTTGTCACCACTCATTGAGCTGAAAGTGTGAATTTTCAAAAATTTAGATATTGGTATTTTTTAATTCAGCAGAAAAAGGTACATGGAACATTTAGGGGAAAAGTACATGTATGAGGTGACCATATGACATTAATTTGGCAGCTTTGCGTCTTTGTGTTCTGACATTGTTTCGACATATCAGACCAGGCACAAATAATGCTCTCATCAAAATTGTTGAGAAAAAGACATGTTTAAATATATGATACTAATATATTTGGAAATATTTGGAATTAAAATAGGAGACAGGTTACTGTTTCCAAACACCACAAAACCCCAAAACTGACCTCTACTTCAATATGAATTGGAACCCTCAAAATAGGAGAGAGGGGAATGTGACTTTACTCTAATTCTGTCAAGACGGGTCACATATCTTACCTACATGGGTGCTAGCATAAGCAATTTAACAACAGTCACAAAGAACATGGCAATGCAATCCACTCTGACTTACTGATCTAATGTTTGGTGTTTCTATGCTTTCTTCCTCTTGTTTCTCTTCCTTGTAATCCAATGTGCAGGGTCCACTGGGGATGAGCTCCTCTACTTCCATTTCCTCAAGTACCAACACATTTTGCCAGTTACCATACTTGCTACTTGGGTGGGCATCAGAACGAATGCTATCTCCAATATAAAGCACCTGTTACATTGTACCAAAAAACATCATGAGAGATGTGATTTGCACCAAGACCAATTCCTGCATGCCTGTGAGATGTACATGTACCATAGCAGCTTAATTTTACCTACTGAAGCAACAACCCAGTCTCAAAACCCAATTATTTGCTGTTACAAGTTCAGATTCTGAAAATTTATGCAATGGCCATGACTACAAGACATTGTGTAGCATAGCTCATCAGTTTATATTTCTCCTTAAGAATAGAGCAGACAGTGTAAGTCACTTTGATTACTATCCCAATAATGACAAAAACTCTACAAATCCCATACAAAATACCTCACTGCACTATAAGAGTTTCTTTGAATGGCAGGTGGTACAATCCAGCTCTGAGCTAGACCCAGAGAGGGCGCAATTTTCCTAGCAATGGAGTCTCCTTTGCGAGGTATTAACTCCACGTCACTGTTTCATGAACGACTAAGACATGCAAGAGTTGCAGTCTAATCACTACCAACAAATGCGCTCTCCTGGCCAACATGGCTATTTTCAACTGATGAGGGGGGTATTCCTGCTCAAGGTGGATTGCAGGCTACCTTGGGCAGCATAGCCTACATACAATGCCCTGCCAACTTATACAGGGATGTAGTTCATTAAGATACCGTGTAGTATTAAAAAGTGTCCCGGGAAGCAACCATAAGAAATTCAGAAAAAAAAGAGAGCAAGATTAAAAACGGTAAAAACAACATGATTGCAACCTTCATAATATAATGGCAGCCATGTCAACAGTGCCATCTATCTTTTGGATTTCGATTCCAAAATACGTGTTGGTAAACTTCAACAAAGGTCACACAGTGCCTTATGAGTTACCTGTGTCACTGTGCTATAGATGACTACATGTACATAAACAAATATGCTTGTCTTCAGACAAGAACGACTGATGAGCAAGTACTATTTCATGTACATATCTTGTTACTAAAATGTGACTTCTTTGACATAAAAAATAATTAAAATCATTTTTTGCAACAGAAAACGCAATTAGCGCAGGAACAGACTGCTCTAATGGCAAATTGGCCAAAGTTATTTCAGAAGTGTTGCAGGTTCAAGGGTAATTCCAAAGGAAAGTGGACTGTCCTGTTGTTACGAGACCTCATTGTTCACCACCAATCACAAACAGAAGCTTTACGAAAAATGTAAGGGTAATTACAGGTAACAGAACTACACTTACTTATCATGTCTCTTGTCCAAAACCTCATTTCGTGTAAAAATTACCTGTACCTGAGACAATAATATTGATAACGTCTTGTCCCAACTTTCATTTGGCATAGTCCTCCACTTCTGTACAAGCCAATTTCTTATTTTCAAGCATAATGTTTCAAACAGTGAGATACAGTGAGTAACAAAACTTAATTATGTCTAGTTCCTGATATATTATCACAAAATGGTGAAACACTGCATAGTGGTGTATGATTTCTGAATATCTCTGAGGAATCAACTATTTTGCCATGATGCAATTTACTTTCAAGAGTATACAGCTAAACTAAATAACCTTCCCCAGTTCAAGTTGGAGTCAGTGTCATTGTCATGATCATGTACATACCTTCGGGTCTGCCTTGCCAGTAAACTTTTTGATGTATTCATTGAATAAGAAGACATTGCCTTCCAAGTAAGACTGGCCTTCCTGCAGCTCTGTTACCTCTTCCCTCTGTTGGCCATCAACTAAATAATACAGACATGGGTAACAGTTCAGTTGTTGAGACACGGGTAATGTTTTCATCTTTGGGTTTCCATGGATATCCGTCAGGTTTAATGTCCCACATGAAAAAAGTCGACCATTATCAAGTTTGCCTCCATATGGCCAACATCCCTCAAGGCATATCTATGTACATGTACCTGCTCTTCAATATACATATTTGTGCACCAAGTATAAGATGACCCACTAGATTTCAAATATAGCATGAAACTATTTTTTTTACCACGACAACCCTATGTCATAAAAAATATATTAACCTTTCACCCCACAGGTTCATAATCCAACTTGTTGAAATAAAGTTTGCTTAACAAAAGTATAAACCCTGCCTACATAAGTATCATCTGTACAATGACTGTTAATAAACCATCTTATAGGGAATATGTGACAGTTTCAAGCTTAGTCAATAATAGAATGCTTTTAGCACATGCTC